AATAAAATTATTTTAACTTTTCAAAATGATAAAAACGATGTGAAAACTTTAACTTGTCATCGTGAACATTCCAAATTTGAGAAACTTGCTTCCTAATACATTCAATATCATGGTCAAACTTAAAATTATTAACAAAGCTTTCAAACTCCAATATTCAATGTTTACAAAATTCCAAAAACTCAGACATAAGTTAAATTTTAATGTTGACATAATGTAGAACAATTATATAATCAGATAATTTTGTAAAAGAATATAGATCTTTATTCAACAAAAGTCTAATGATCATACTTGAGTAACGATTTTCAATTTAAAAAACTTCACTTGTTAATTTGACTTTAGCAATAAAAATAAACCATCAACATGCAAATTCGTTGTGATAAATTTGGGTGCACCATATTTTTCAAATTTTTCCATCAGTTAATCTACGATATTCATAATACCAAGTAGCTGAAAGAAACCTGTGTAATCCACCCATACCATTAATCATTTCACTCGTTAGTTTCATTGGTGGTGGAGCAAACGGTTTAGGATCTCTTCCAAGAATATAACCGAAATCAACATGGAACATTTTCCCATTTTCGGCCAGTAAAAGATTATGCAAATGTCGATCACCTAAAATTAATTAAGCCGATTTTTTTGCATACCACTGTACTTGAGGACATTTATGAAATACAAGAACCATTTACCGATTCCCAATATGTAGCAAATTATTGAATAACCAGCACAGGAACGCACATAATTTTCAACAACTTCAGTCTCAATCCCAAAAGGTCCGTTTGGCGATGGTCTAAAGGATCTAAGGCATTCCTGAAATCTTATAAATCTTAAGTTTTTAACAATACTTATAAATACTAGCCCAAAAACGTCAAGCGAAATAAACCCGATTTAAAAAATGCTCGAAAACTTGTAATGTAACAGTACAAATCGAAAATTACATATTTCTTTAGCTTTTCATTGTTACATCTATGAATATATTCATTTTATTGTCACCCTTTTCGGCAATTATACTAATCACTACTTGAAGTCATAAAACTTCAACAACTGTACAAAACTACAAATGACTAGAAATTAAATGAAAATAATAGCGACAAATTAAGGACTATTACAGTGATAGATCAATGAATAAGTGCTGCTAACATGTCTATAAAAACCTGATTTTATGTAATAATTAAACCTTTGTTATTTGAAACAAATATAATAATTTACTTGAACAGTGCCCCAACTAGAAATTACTTCACGGAGAGGTATAGCTTTAACAAATTGGACAAATCCTTCGGAGGTAGATGTGGCAAGAACAGAATACGGTGTCAGACGCAAGTCAAGCCCATCTGCTCGAAGTAATCCATCCATTAAACGAATCATTTGAATAATTAATTGGTCCTGTCTGAAATATCCCGATTTTGTTTTCTAAAATGCCCCAAATCATTTCATAAATGTTTTTATATGAAAAAAAGACGTATGTCTCACAACAGATCTCATTACTGATAAAATAAGTAGATACTGTCTAAAAAACATTCAAAATGATTTCTAAGCCACAAGAACGTGTAAGGTTTATATACATGTATGATAAAAAAAGCACAATTTTAAATATTAATGTGAACTCAAAATCGAAAAGGAATTATTCACAAAAGAAGTCAAGAAGTCAATGAAAATACCTTAAATCATCGCCTCGTTTAAAAATAGTTACATACTGGTCATCATTTTCAGTTTTAAATGTGAGCTTCATCGGCATCATGTTACTGTTGAAAAGTGCTGCAGAATCAGGGAGCAACGCATTGACGCGTATAGTTGGATCAAGCGGTAAGGGAAGACCGCAAAGATTGAGCAAGTCATGTTGCTCACGCAAAGATCGACGTAAAGCTTTCTCTTTTTGACTCCGGCCACCACTTTCTTGTGATACGAGTCTCGCCATCGACACTAGGATTTCGATTAAAATCTAAAAATTTAGCGATTTTTACTTATTCTAACTTTCCTTCAGTAATCTTGACAACATAAGTAGGTATTAACTTTCGCGAATCGCTAAAAGTTAAAAATTATTTAATTTCCTGATTTCTCAAACAATTTCGTATTTTTTCCCTGGAAGTTTGATAATTGAATTGGCTACTGTTAAAGACTCAAATTTACTTATTGCAGTATATCTTTCTTCTGCATAATTAGAGTAATGTAGTGAATTGAAACAGCTTTAGTTAACCCTTAAGTGGAATCTATAAAACGATCAGCAATTAATACAGTCCAAAGATTTTGCTTGTTGGTATGAAATAAATTCCGATTCATAATACTCTATCTTCTTTTTAAAGAACAAAAATCACTGTGAAGCGCATTAAATCCCCAATTAATTAAAATGAAAATGATAGAAAACTGCTTATTTCTTCCCCTACATATTAAGGATTAAATTTGAAACAATAATGAAATAACAAAAGAATAAATTTTCCGTTCAAACATACATTGATGAAAATATCAAACCTCTTGTTGATCAAGAGAAGCAGCCCTACGTCTCAAATCACAGCCGCCACTTCGCAAAGACGATAACAATAACGATAAAACATAACTGTACATACGAGACATATCTGAATCGACCTGAGCAGTTGCTTCTATCTGCAAACGAATAACACCCAAACCATACGTTCGAAAATTGCACAATATGAAAAAGAGTTATTTTCATTCTCAAAACCATTAGTAAACTTTAAAATTTTATATAACATTGAAAATACACTGATTTGAAAAAAAAAAATTTATTCTAATCTGATATTTGCAATAATGAAAACTTAATTAAAGAAATATGGATTTCCACTCACCTCAACTTTGAGATACCAATAAAGATAATAAGTGATTGATGGATTACTGCAAGCTGAACGTATTAAAAACGATGTAAGGTCATCGCCTGTGAGGCATTTTTGCATAGCTTGCTCGATTCTCATCTGATGAATAGTTTCACTAGATAACTTATCAGTATCTTTCTTCGTATCATCATTTGCAATTGGACTGTCTTTTTGATCCTATAAATCATGACATGATGTAATACATTTTTGGCTAGTTTTTACTCAAATAAAAAATAAATGACTGGTTACACAAAACACATACATCTCTCTTTAATTCTTATGTAATTAGGCTGTTTATAATAATACTAAACAAGATTTTTTATATTTTAAACTACTCAGAAACAGTTTTGGTTTAGGTATTAGCTGAAACTCTACATTTTTACAATGATATCTAGCTACTCACTTCTGACTAGATGTATTTAACGAGATTTAATGATGAAAAAAAACAGCAAAAATTTCAACTTATGTGAAAATTTGATAATTTCGGAAAAAAAACTTCGACAAAACTTTCCATTTCTTTCTAATTCTGAAAATTGCACCAAAAGTAAAAGCAGGGCATATGATACTAGTTTAATGAGCATTATTTAAAAGATTATCACAAGCCATGTATGTAATTATCAATGAGAGCAAAAATATTACAAAAACCTCTGATATTCACAGAATTAACTGACACAGGCCTCAAGTTCTTTTGAAGCACTCATGATGAAGCGCTCGTATTTTAATGCCTGCACAAGTTGTGGTAAATAAAGTAGAATTTGTTCAGGTTTAGCATGTGATAAACGTGAGACTGCATAGCGCCGCAATTCGATATTCCGAAATGTTGGTGATAGCAGTTCCAAAGCATCGCTGGCTTCTAGTGGTGACCATTCTCTGAAAATAAAAATTAGAAAAATTTAAACTGCATTTTTCTGAATTGTACACTGTGAATTACAAAATGATTGTAGCTTTTTAGATCTAGATTTTAAAGCGCATAAAAACAAAACTCAACTTTCAAATCTTCTTATAATGCGGAAATCATAAATGAAGAAAAACTTCTCAGTGAAACAGCAAAACAATTTTTTTCCAATAAAATATTTACTTTACTAGAAGCAAAGCATAAGCTGCTTCTTCTTTTTCTTCCCAATCTACCGAACGGACAAACTTCGTCAGTGCTTTGCGATTATTTCGAAGATAGTACCGAAATTTCCATATTAGATCACGTTCTTCCAGACTGATTGTATGTGACGATGGCAACTAGAACCGATAAAACACTGAGTGCATGTGATGAGCATCAAAAATAATAGCAAACAGCAAAAAAATTTGACTTCAAGTATTATCGCGCAGACAAAATTTCAAGTTTTAGTTCTTAGTTCTTTATTTTATGCTTTCAAGCATAAAATAAAGAACTAAAATATATGTTACTAAAGTTTTAGTTCTTTATATTGTAGAGTTATATGTTACTAAAGTTTTAGTTCTTTATTTTATGCTTGA